CAAATAGTTGGTTAACGTTACATTTTGAGTGGATGGCGAGCGCGAGACGCCGAAATGGATGCCAATAAGATTCTGAATGGAAAGTTTACTTTTAAAAAGTTGCCAAATGGTTCCATTGACAAGACCAAAGTGATATGTGTGTTTTGTCGTTGTGAACTGAGCTATCATCATCGCAGCACGTCCATTCTGAAATACCACTTGATGATGGCCAAGCACACACACACACACACACACACACACAGCTGATGCGAATTCTCCGCCCCCTCGTCAGTATCAGGACCTCGTCAGTATTTCTTTCACCCTTTTATTGATGGACAGTGTTACATTGAGAGATTATTTGCTCCAAGTGAGAATGTTAGTGTGAAATTAAACACTGTATATGCCAATGTTGTTTTCAATAAAAAACATTTGCACAAAGCAAGCCAATCCACTTTTCCATGTTCCAGAAAAAAATAATGGGACAAAATAAATCAAGAGACATTTAGAATAGATAAAAATGTGCGATTAATTGCGAGTTAACTATGACATTAATGCGATTAATCGCGATTAAATATTTTAATCGTTTGACAGTACTGATATATATATATAAATAAATAAATAAAATAATATATTATTGGTCTCAAAGTGCATCAAGCAAGTAGCCTGACGTCGTCATACTCAGATTCTAGTCAGAATGTGAGTCTGATACTGCTCCATTGGGCTGTGATTATGGGGCGTGTTTCAACCGAACCAGGAAAGAAAATGCCTCTGCACTCAATTGGATCGACAAATGCCTTGATCGCGGTTCTCTGTTCCTCTTTTAAAATGAATGCGCTGTATAGATCTTCTATAACAGACGCGACGGCGGAATCTACACATCTAAATTCTCCAGCGGAAGCCATTCTTTGTTGTAAACGAATTCAACCCAAGCGCTCTTTGGTGACGTGGATGATTACGTTACGGTTGATCATCTGTCCATCATCGTATAAAGCCCGCCCTGACAATTTGATTGGTCCGAACAGCTTTGGTTCGGGCATACTTGCTTCTCAACGGATCAAGTCTAGACCGAACTTCCCATCCTCAAATGTTGTGGGCAGAGCTAAGTTCGGCTGGCATCCAGGCTATCAAGCAAGGCTTTCATCGACAAACTTTTCCTTTTAAGTCACCTTTTTAAGGTTTTCTTTAAGTTTTGAATGATTTGGATGCTGGTCACATCTTTTATACCCAATACATCTCCCGACCTATTCAACCGTGCCCTCGAGTTCAGTGGTAGTTTAAAGAACCGCAGAGTTGCCCGTTACTGGAAAAGTAAAGCAGCACGTAGCGATCTCAGCACTATCTTGCCCATGTCTTGCCATCTCTACATGGTGTTTTTTTGTGTTCTTGTGCCATCTCAGACTTGCATGGGTATTCTGAGGCTAGCCAGACTCAAGCTGGCCCATGAATGACATCATGGATTCCTGGGGGCCAGAGTCCTCATAAATAATTACCTTTCTCTGGCTCAGGGTTGACGGGGGAATAAACTGTGCTGCAGATCCTGCGCTAAACTTCTGTATATGGTCCTTCTCGGCCACTGGGCAGATTCCCCCCTCGTTCACAGTGACGCTGGAGCTATGCGCTCTTGTCTAAATATTTACCCAAGCTGTTTAGTGATGCACCTACACACTGGACCTAGCCCATGTCTTCTCTTTTACTCGTGGGCGATGTTTGATCCATGTATGACAGAATTACCTTACCAAATAGTGTACACATTGCATTTACATTTATGCATTTGGCCAAGATGATTTTATCAATATATCAGTTCATGCATTCCCTTGGAATTGAACCAATGAACTTGGCGTTGGTAGCACATCTGCTCTAATTTAATGCACTTTTTGGCTCTTAAGATTATTTGAATCATTAGTGAGTTCATTTTAATTCATTAAAATGTTTCTGTAAAATATATGTAGGGAACTAGGTAGATCCACACCTTGCTGTTTATTACTAAGCATCATTGGTGCATATACTGTAGAAAAAAATGATTCACTCTTCATTCTGAATCTGGAGAATTTGTGGATTTCCTGAAGTCTTTCCAGTTGTTTATACTTGTCAGTGTCTTACCTGCTTTCTTTCTTCTGTTTTCTTTACCTCAGGCACCCAGCAATGACCTCCCTCTGAAACATATAGAGACAACAGTGAGTATTTCAAACCATGTTTGAATGTTGACATGTTTATGTATGTTTTCTTAACATCAGTATGGCCAATGGCATATTTTGTAGTTAACACTGCCTTCATCCACAAACTTTTCCTTTTCACTCACCTTCTTTAAAGTGAACATTGACATTGTTGGGTCAGTGTGAACATGACGGTTATGTTTCCAACATTCTAAGTACAACAGCCAAATGAAGAATGTTTGAAGTGTTGCCGTTTGTTGGGTCAGTTTGAACACGGTGTAAAGTCATTACTGACAGCTTCAGAAATAACGGCTTTAAGTTATAAATATTTAGGTCTTTAGCTAACACTGTTGCTATGCAGCTTCTGTAGTCTAAACTTCACCAGTCTAAACCTCACGGAGTGCTGAAGCTCAAATTATTGGTTGGATTAGCTAAACACAGCCTCGCTGGGCCTATAATGACTGCCCAATGAATATGCTTTAAAGGGACAGTACACTCAACCCTAACCTGACACAAAAATAACCTGTATGATACTATTTATTCCAAAAGAACACAAGAGAAAATTTCTTTCATCTCTCTTCCCACACAACAGCAGTTCAAAGTGACCACATCTGTTAATTCATGTTGCTTTTAACATCATACATGTTTGGAACGACATGAGTAAATAATGACAGGATGTTCATTTTTGGGTGACTGTCCCTTTAACTGGTTAGCAGAGGAAGAGATCTGAGTTGTATCTCAAGCATGTGTGTTCACTTGTGCCGCAGCCCCCCTCTCAGAAGCCCCTCCGTCCACCCCGTTCCTCATCCCCCTCATGCCTGGGTGAAGAACACTCTCTCCAGACACAGCTGTGGATGACTAACTGCCTTGATCCAAATAAAATTCAGACTTTCGTTTGGAGCCGTCCATATGAGCATGAGTATGCTCAGAGATTTAGGGACAGAGCAAAAGACTCTTATAATCCCCCTGAAACATCATTAGATCGTTTTATTGATACAATATTGAGCTGGAGGTTAGCCAAAGGAAATGGTAAAAAAAGCAAAGCCCTACATGTAACCAGGGATGTAAGAACAAACTGAAAGTGGGTGGGGCGTTTTAAACCTTATCCACTAATAGTCCAAAAGTCTGTGTTACCCAGAGTAGAATTACTGCCATGTTTTCGTTCATTCCACAGCCAGTTGGTAGAGGCTTATGACTTTTTTTAATCGTTATTTAATGTGAATGGCAAACATGGCTTTTTTTACCACCTCGACCAATTATTATTCATTATTAAATTATAAACATGTAATCCCACAATTAATTAAGTCTTCATATGATTTAAAATTAAGAATTATTATGATATGGAATTGTTATATGAATTATTATCGAATGCCACTGGTTTTCTTTGCCATTGTTATAGAGTTAGCAGTCTTCTTAATATATCAATACCATGATTAGTTTTAACAGTATGTAACCATTGTAAATCGACATAAATTATACTTCAAAATCACCTACACAAGCGTATTTATACTCGAGAATGCTTTGATGCGCTACCACAGCGCATGATCCCTAAGGGAACATCTGGCAATTCCACCAAGTGGTTAAAACGTATAATTTATTATAATATAATTTGATGTATAAAAATATAAAACATTTGGTGAATTGCAGAATTACAGGAAGGCATTGGCACAATTTTACCAGTAATAAGTTAGTCAGGTCACTAGGAACCTAACACAAGCTTTGGGACATTACAGTAGGCCTAATGTTTCTATAAAAAACAAATTGCGTACTGTGCATGCAGGGAGCTATTGACAAAATTTCACCTGTTTTAAGGTTAATAGGAACTACAACCTTTGAAACCTGATAAAAGAAAAAAAAAACTTTTACAGAAATTTCCTAAAAAAATATTTGTTTACTGTAGGGCAGGCTATATACATGAAGGGACAAACAGTCAGCTGTAGTAAGTCAGTCTACTACCAATACAATCAAGCTTTGGATTTTGAACATGTATGTTTTTGAATGTTAAAAGTAATTTTATTTAATACAAATGATACGTTTAAACAACTTGAAGGAATTGGCAGATGTTCCCTTAGGGTTACGCTGTGGTAGCGCGTCAAAGCATTAGACTGTAAATATGCAGCTATAATGCACGTAGGTGATTTTGAATTAATAAATGTAGTTACAATGTTTAGCTATACTGTTAAAACTAATCGTGGTGTTGATATTTTTTAGACTGCTGAATGAGTGGTGACTCTATAGAACAGTGGCAAGGAAAACTAACTTTATCGCGCTCCGAGAGCCCAGTGGTCGGGAGCATTTCCGTTGTGTTGCGGCTTTATTTCGTTGTGTTGTACATTTTCCGTTGTGTTGTGGCTTATTTCCGTTGTGTTGTACATTTTCCGTTGTGTTGTGGCTTAATTTCGTTGTGTTGTGGCTTAATTTCGTTGTGTTGTGAACTTATGTTTGCTTTTTAAATTTCGTTGTGTTGTGCACTACTGGGCCACCGTACAAATGTGATGCGTAACACGAAAATGAACCTCATCGGTTCTTGCTGAAGCTCAAACGTGATGCGTAACACGAGAATGAACCTCATTGGTTCTTGCTGAAGCTCAAACGTGATGCGTAACACGAGAATGAACCTCATTGGTTTTTACACGTCAAGCGGACATGCTTGAGCTTCCATTTACCACAACTGATGTGTGAGTTGATGAATGTTAATGTGAATAAAAGCCTAAATTAAATCTGTTCATCATATAAAGCGATTGAGCCTCTTCAGAAAATTGTATGAACTTTTTAAAGCGTCAAAGTAGTAGTTGCGATGCTGTCAATGGAGGGACAGAAAGCTCTCAGATTTCATCAAAAAGTCTTCATTTGTGTTCTGAAGATCTTGCTGATTTTGGAAGACATGAGGGTGAGCAATTAATGACAGAATTTAATTTTTTTTGCTGAACTAACCCTTTAAACATGATATGCTGGAGTTCTAATGACACACCAAGCCGACGTAAAAGTACTAGTGGCGATGCAAGCTGACTGTGTTGTCGACTCTCGTCGGCTGCGTCTCGGCCAAAAAGTTGTGCTTAAACACTAAAAGGACTAAAGGTGACTGTCAGCTAGCATGTGCGCTCTGCGACTGCGTGCAAGGAAATATCTGTCTATATCAGCAGGTATCAGTAGGCTATATTCATCATTCAAAAAGGGAAACCGAAAGTAGGACTGCATATATACAAACCATAAACAAAGCAGCGCTTGCTTACCATTCTGATCACTTTCCTCATTCCTGGCAGCTAATGTTGTTATGAAAGTATTTGTGCATTAGAATGCTCAGGTAAGATGATATAAAATTAAAATAGCCTTCTGTCTGTGCAGTCTTGACATCTTCTCGCTTTCATCACTTTTGCTTTTATTACCGTGCAATGACTCATTCACTAAGCTGAACAGCCGATCAGATTTCGCTCTGCCGATTCATCATCCTCAATCGTCTAAAATACGGCCGACATTGTCCAACTAGTGCCAACAGTGCGGAACACCTCACAAAAACTGGGCCGGCCGATACTGAACGAGGGGTGTGGCGAGCAGGACGAGGCCGAGGGCCATGAGAGAATGGCGCGAGGCCGGTGGCGTGATTGATAATGAGGTCTCGTATCTCCACTGTCGTCGCTCCTCCTTTATGCATCCGCTCCTCCGTGAGAGATACGAGACCGGTGCGTCGTGCAGGTGTTGCTCATTATCAATCACGCCACCGGCCTCGCGCTGTTCTCTCTCGGCCCTCGGCCTCGTCCTGCTCGCCACAAAGGGGCTTAATTTAAATTCAAACTGATTCCTCCAGGCTTCTTCGGCTTTAGTGCCCTGATGCCAAAAAGCTGTATATTGCTGTGAATTAAAATACATTGAGCTTGTAATTTATCATGCTGCATTATTCTTGGCATTGTGCGTATCTGTAAATAATCCAGAAAATAGCTCTCTAGATGTTTGGAGCAGTGTATGTTTGCAGCTGTCAGGCAGTATTACTCACTCTTTAGGCATCATGGGAAACCTGCACCACCCTCACCTCAAGGGTCTCCCATGGTCAGTTAGCTGTGGTTATGCTGATGTCTTGGATTCTCAATAACAAACCCTTTGAATCTCAAAGTCATTTTGTCATATGACTTCCTGTGTCATGTTTTTAGTTCAAGAGCTTGTTTTTCAAGGAGAGCTTGATAATATGCTTGCCTGTTTTTCTCTCATTTCTCATTTAGACCATAATTCTCCTGCTCTGAAGCAGTGATTGAGATAGATATGTTTTGAAATTGGCTTTGGATTGACTGTAGTCATTGGATTTGCATATTATTCTTTCTGGCTCTGATTTGGATGAGTCGTATTATGAGGAATCACATTTTTCTTCAACTTTTCATATAAAGGCTTCATTGTACTATGAAAACGTCCTCCATATAGTAAAAAGAGCATTTATTGAAGACTGAACCGCAAAGATGCTTTCTGATCTTCTGACGTCAAACCGATGAAGACAGTAGCGTACAGCCGCCCACATTTACACGTCAACAACACCTATTTAGTATTCAGAAATTTGGTCCATAAAGCCACAGCGAGGTAATATGGAGGAAGTGTAGATGCTATTATCTATAAACACTAGAACTTGCCAAAGTAAAATGTTTAAAGTTCATCGAATCCTATTTGTGATGGGTTTTTTTTAACGTAACTCTAATCATTTGGGTTAGTTTAATATTCTATATATACTATTTTACTGTTTATTAATATTTTGAATTAGCTTTCATTTTTATATTTTCAGTTTTGGGTTGTTTCTTTACTGTGTTAATGTATTTCCTATTGAAACAGGAAGTGACAGCAAGACATATGAAATGGCTTGTCACGGTTATACTGCAAGCTGATTTGCTGTCTGCTGCTTTTACCCGCTGTCAGGTGATATTGGGGAGGGACATTCTCATTCTTTGGAGCATTTGATTGATGCCCATTGGTGCAGGATGAGTCATCAATATTGTTGGCCTTAAAACTGTACATTTTAAATGTGTAAATGTGCATTTAGTCAACTTTTAAGAGTGTACTTGCCATATAAATGAAATAATAGAAATGGTGAAGTGTGTAGCTTTTCATTTCTTAAACAACCATGTAGGAAGACACATCATGACCATATTCCAGGATGACAATGTCAAGATTCATCAGGCTCAGATAGTGAAAGAATGTTTGGGAGGAGCATGAAGAATCATTTTCACACATGAATCGGCTCCTCTGAGTCCAGAGCTTAAATTCATTGAAAGTCTTTGGGATGTGCTGGAGGAGACTTTACAGAGTGCTGGACTCTTGCATTGTCAATACAAGATCTGTGCCAAAAATGAATGCACCTCTTGATGAACATAAAAATTGTGATGTTATTTCCATCAAGAGATCCATCAATAAAAAATTAAAATATAAAATACTTGGCTAGTTTTGCAATGTTAATAACTGTTGAAATGCATCATCACACTATGTGAAAAAGGTCCATTTCACATAGAAGGCTGCAAAATAACACAGCGTGCTTCAGGGTCAGCGAGAGGATGGAAAATGATCATGACCAAAAATGACAGCTATTTTTAGCATCCTAAGTGGACCTCAGGGATGAAAACTATGTATTAACAAAAAACAAAAAGTCTGATTTGACCTCTTTATATTCTCTATACTACATTTATATTCTAGAGAAAGCGAGGTGATGGGCCATGGTTTCCTAGAGGTGACACAACTGTGAATTGTTGAAGTTGTGAGGTCAGAATGATCATCTCCTCCAGTCAGCTGCTGAGTGTGTGACCCAGAGAGAGAGCAAAGGCTAGACGGAAGATCCAAACAAACGCGGGTGGCAGCAGCGCACACACGCACAGCATGGGAAAGAGGGAGGGGAGAGGTGCCGAGGAACAAGGAGGGGCCGGAGAGGGAGGCGGGAGGGAACAAAACAAGGGAAAGAGTAACTCTGCAAGTGGGAGAAGGAAGAAAGCTGCGGTCCGCTTGAGTTTGACGCCAGGCATGTGGCATCTTCGGCACAGCGCAGAACCAAAATAGAGCCAGGAACGTGGGGCGCGCTTCGGGAAAAGGGGAATGCAAGAAGAAGGGAAGCGTTATTTCCCGACCATGAATCCCAGCGGCTCCCTACGGAGGCGCTTGTCCTCCTTGCGTGATGCGTGGAGGTGGAGTACGGGTTACCTGTTTAAGGTAGGCCTTCAGGTTTCCGCCTGACTTTGATTGTGCGCTTTAAAAATACAATGTTCCAAAAGGAAGCTTCCGCAGCGATGCAATAGAAGAACCGTTTTGGGTTTTCAGTGAACAGTTCTTAGAATAACCTTTCCACTTTAAAGAACCTTTTATGCAATGGAAAGGTTCCATGGATGTTTAAGGTTCTTCGTGCCAATCAAAAGCCTTTATTTTTAAGAGTGTCGGTCTTTGTGCAGTTGCAACTTTTCCCTCAAAGCTATCCCTCGCTTTCTTCCCTGCACTCTCTGATTGTTCATTTGTCGGGCCCGCTCGAAAGCAGTGTTTCCAGCTGGTTTTGATCAAGCCTGGCTGAGACCCCGTCCAACCCCCCACCCACCCTTTCTTGGCCGTCCTTCTGGGGGTCGCAATTATCGGCTGATTAAGGGAATGTTTTTGGAGCCGGGCACGGTGTGGCGAGAGATGGAAGGTGGACCCTGTGGATGGAGAGAGGGGGTTTGCAATGCCAAGGGTGTTTTACTCGAGTGTGTCGCAATATCTTGCTCGGGCTATAAGTGAGCGACTTTGGCAATCTCTTTTAGAATGGCTTATTTGTGTTTCTTTTCGCTTTATGAGTGTTCATAATGGCCTGGCCCAGTAATATATACACACAAAAGTGTGTTACACTTCAAAATGTGTTAATGGTCTTTTACAGTCTGATCATTTGAAGCATGATTGGTCTCTAAGTACTATATGTGAAAACAATATTGTAGAAGATTTTTTTGGATTCTCGGGAAAAGAGGATTATTTAGGAAACTAATGCTGTGTGGGAACATTTTACTTAATGAATTTTCCTACACTGAAAGAAAAAAGGTGTAGCATTTGCTTTGAAAAAACTGTCACTGAGTTACAAAGAATTGATTTAATTAATTACACATTGAGTTAAACGTGAAATTTTGAAGTAGAAAGACTACGAAAAATAACAATGGAATATATATATATAAGTGATAGTTCCCCCCAAAATAAAACGTCTGTCATCGGTTACTCACCATCATGTCATCACGACTTTCTTTCTTCTGTGGAAAGAAGATATTTTGAAGAATGTTTCGACCGGTTTTACACAATGACAGTCAATGGGAAGTCACTGTTATTTTATACCCCATTGTCTTTCATTGTATGAACAAAAACATTGACACTTTCTTAAAAAGTATCTTCTTTTTTTGTGTCTCACAGAAGAAACAAAAAGTCAAATAGGTTTTAAAGGCATGAGGTGAGTAAATAATGACAGAATTAATTTTTTTAGGTGGACAGCTCCTTTAAGTCTTTATTTAAGATAATTATTAATTAATTAAAATGAACAGAGTTCCCACAGTCAATGTTTTGATTTCCAGACCTGTAAAAGGCATGCAAATTAGGTGATGTGTGTGAAGTTTTGATGCGTTTCATTGGAATTTTTTAATTTTTTAATAATTTTTTTTTGGATGGAGGGAGGGTTGTCTTGTCACAGCGACATTGACTCACCCAGTTGCATGAGTTTGGGCTGGGACTTTTTGAAAACAGTCATTTTGCAATGCCATTCCATATTTTGTTAACCAAATGGAATAGCAAATGGGTTTTGTTAGACACTATAATTCTGGCAATTTCTGTAGTGAATATTATAGTAAAAAAAAAAAAATTCTAGTTATGCACTACTGTATGGCATCGCTCATTAAGCATTGTCCCAGTTGAACCAGATTCAAAACTCAGAAAAATGTTTTCGTTTTGAAGACATTTGAACTTGAAATTTTCCCATCATTTCACTTCCTCAAGTTATTCTGTACTATTCTAAGACTGCTACATATGGGAAACCGCATACAAAGTCTATACAGTTTCTAGAAAAGGCCCCAGCACTGTGTATAATTATACGTTGGATTCTGGGTTTTCTTAGTAAGCATTGTTCCTTTTTAGTCGTGTCAGTCATACACTAGTATGTCATTTCGACGGTGAGCATAAACCACGCATCTTCTATCTACTTTTGTAAGACTCAGAGTGAGACCATTAACACTTTAACTTTTCTTTGTATCTAGATGTGATATTAAAGGTGAAGCGTGTATTTTTGTCCCTCTACCAGCAGCAAACCAAATTGCAAAAAATAGTGCAGAAATTACACACTTCACCTTTCAATGTCTCCAGTGTGAAATCCATATAATTTCGTTCCCTCACCTCACCTCACCTCACCTCACAGGCTGTCATTGCCTTTACAGTATATACAGCTGAGATGACATGTTCAATGCTAGACACAGACCACACGCTCACATCAGCTCTCTTTAACCTGTATTAACACAGGTTTGCATATGGAGAAACAAAAAGAAACTGTCCAAACAAATGGCCTTTTCATTGGTGTAATCAGCAGAACAGCCTAAGGTCTGGAGATGAAGAGTAAACCTCCCATTTGGATAACTGGTTTACGGTCATTTTTAAACAGGAAATGGGCTAAAAACATCTGGAAACTGTCGTATTTGAGAGATCATTATTAGTCCGCTGTATCGGCCAGGCTGAATAATTGGACATTATTTGGTCATTTCGAGATTATCTGCATAAGCTGAACAGAATGTCCTCTGTGTGTTGTGTTGATTCCAAACTCTACCGATAGCTTTGTTAATGTATAGTATTTTTTTTACTAGATTTTTTAGCAAAAATGGCATAAACTTCATTTTGTACACCTTTACAGTCATTACATTGTTTTGTGAATACATTGACATTATATCAGCAATCTTAAATTTTTTTGGATTTGTAAACTTTATACTTTTACGAAATGCAAGATCAAAGTTTAAAAAAATCTTCTATTGACTTTGGCCTACATTGAAAAAATGTTCAGAAATCAAAACTGACAGCATATATTTTCATGCATGGTCTCGTCTTGCATCTATTTAAGCATATATGCATTTTTACACTGTGTTCATACATAACCAACAGAAAACAGCAAATGGTTTAAAAAAAATCATTCTGTCTGATATCTCCTACAGGAATCGTGAATCTAGTTCAGACACTTGCTTTCCCCAAGTAGATTTTTATTTTTATTTTAACTAATTTTCTTTTCTTTTAGGGCTCAACCAAATCCTCCAAGAGCATGGAGTCTCGACACAGGCCATCCAGGTGAGAGATGTCATTGTCTTCATCAGAAATCAGTTTAGTCAATATCTCATGTGTTGCTATATGTGCTGCTTTAGTGAAATCACAAGGGATCTTCATAGCATTCCCAAATCCAGCTCCGTTTGACATCTGACTCTGCTTGGACCAGTCGCACATTCTTTATAGCAGTTTATGAGTGCAAAGAATAAACAAGTTTTAAAACATCTACACAGTCTCCGGGGATAAGTTATGATGTCCTAAAAGGGCTTCTCTCCCACATATATTAGATTAATAATGGCCCTTTTATCTTGAGTGATCGCTTGCTATAGATACTGGTAGCGAAGGAGACACTGCCCACCCATGGAAAAAACAAATCCTGTTATCATTGTTATACGCATTCATTTCTATCAGAAACATTTAAAATATATTCAACAGAATTGGCTATCTTATAAACAAAAACACTCTAGAAAGCACTCTAGGATGCAAACCAAAAGATAAGATTATTCCAAACAAATGAAATATTAGTCTCCAATTATACAACACTTGAGTTGATCTCGGATCCATTCCGATGGTCTTATGTCTCTCAGCTGTTGGGTGTGTTCATGCCAGGCTTTGTGAAATACATCACTACAAATAGCTCCCATTTCAGCTACCAGGGGGATTTTTACTCTTTATTTACATGAGCAGCTATTTTATTTGTCTCTTGTTTTTGGGAAACTGTCCATTTGGGCACAACCTTAAAACGAGACCCTTTGAGAACCATTTTTTTTTCTGCCAAAAAGAGCATTCCTGTTTTGTTTTGTTTTTATGGCAAGGCATTTTTCAATGGTGGATGGAGTTTGTGTGGTACTGTAGTCTAACTTATTTTGGAGAATGAATTGCACCCGCTGATAGCACTGTTTTATTTGCATGCACTATCTGTGTTGTTTTAGTGGCCATTTAACTCAGGAATTATGCAAAACAGTTAACGGTACAAACATACCCATAGAATATATGAAAAGCATTTGAGATCAGCTCCATCATTTTCCATCATTTGATCATCACTTGATAACTTATTCCATTCTCAGTTGAAAATGTGCTTAAACTTTTGTTTTCAATTCCACAAAACAAATAGTGCAAACAAAAGGCAATAGTGACTTATTCTTTTTTAAAGCACTGTTTCACTGCATTTAGAACCTGCTTAAGATGGATTATGGTTAGTGGATATGTTTGTTTAAAAGTGAATGAATGCACAAACCTTATGGGCTTTCAAAAGGATTGTGTGAACAGGGGGGCATCCTTAAAATTAAAGGATTGTTCAGACATTGTTACGCCTTGTATTTTCCACACACTGAGTTCATCCAGAGAGATCTCTTGAGAGCTGTGCAATGTTGTGTGTGTTTTGCCAGACAGTGTGGTGCAAGTACAATGTTTATATGTCTTGTACCATTCACAATCATGTGTTATTTACATTTGTTTCTCTGAAATGCACTGAATGCGAATCGCTTTTCGATTAAAATCAGCCGTAGAGAGATTTACATGATTTACTGTAGCTGCAATCCCCAGAAAACATGACGAAATCCAGATTTTCCTATGCATGGCTTCATTGCTAAACAAGGGCAAAAATGGGCCTCACCAACAGGTATCTTTCCAAAAGCTACACAGCCTGAGTTCAAACACTGACCGTAATTTACTAAAGGTTTGCATGCTCAATAGTGAGCTGCCTTACTGTCTGCTTCCTACATCACTAAAGCACACAGGAAGCAAACTCATGGTTGATTTCAATAGAGCTTTGTTAGCATGTTGTAAAATGAATTGTGAAAAACTAACTATAAAAATGAAAATGAACACACATAAAACCCATTTTTTCAAAAGTATTCAAACCCCTTCAGTTTTTTTCACATTTTTATGTTGCTGCCTTATGTTAAACTGCTTTAAATTATTTTTTTTCCTCCTTCAAATTAATCTACAATCTACGCTAATCTACACGTACACCATGATGACAAAGCAAAAAACAGATTTGTGATAACATTGCAAATTTATAAAAAAAAAAGGAATGAATTACATTGCATAAGTATTCATACCCTTTTCTGGGACACTTGAATTTTAGCTTGGAATCATTCCAATTTCACTTCGATTGGACATAACCTGTGGTAAATTCAATTGAATAGGTATGATTTGGAAAGACACACACCTCTCAATAAAAGGTCTAACAGCTAAAAATGCATATCAGAGCAAAAACCAAGCCATGAGGTGAAAGGAACTGCCTGTAGAGCTCAGAGACAGGATTGTGTCGAGACACAGATCTGGGGAAGACTACAAACAATTCTGCTGTATTGAAGGTTCACAGAAGCATGTAGCCTCCATAATCCTTAATAAAAGAAGTTTGGAACAACCAGGACTCTTCCTAGAGCTGAACTGAGCAATCAATGAGGAGGGCCTTGGTTAGAGTGGTGATCAAGAAGCTGATGGTCACTCTGGTTGAGCTCCATGGTCATAAATGGTGATTAGAGAAACTAGAATAAGGACAAACATCACTGCAGCACTCCAGCAATCTGGGCTTTATGGCAGAATGGCCAGACGCAAACCTCTCCTCAGTGGACAACATGAAAACCCTCTTGGAATTTGCTAAAACGTACCTAAAGGACTCTTTCAGACTGTGAAAAACAAGATTATCTGGTCTGATGAACCTCATTTACAAGCATCATGTCTGGAGAAAACCAGGCACTGTTCATCACCTGCACAACACCATCCCAACAGTAAAGTGTGGTGGTGGCAGCAACATCAGCTGTGTTTTCTTTTTCTTTTCTTTTTTTCAGCGGCAGGGACTGGGGAACTTGCTCAACACAGCAAAATATAGAGATATCCTTAATGAAAACCTGGTCCAGAGCATTCAGACCCTCGGACTGGGCAACAGGACAATGACCCTAAGCACAAAGCTGAGACAATGCAAGAGTGGCTTATTTACAACTCTGTGAATGTCCTTGAGTGGCCCACCCAGAGCCTGGACTTGAACCCAATCAAACATCTCTGGAGAAACCTGAAAATGACTGTCCACCGACGGTCCCCATCCAAACCGGCAGAAAATCCCCAAATGCAGATGTGAAAAGCTTGTCACGTCACACCCAAAAAGACTTGAGGCTGTAAAGGTGCTTTAAATAAGTACTGAGTTAAGGGTTTGAATACTTATGCAATGTACTTATTTCAGTATTTGCAAAGTTGTCACAGATTTGTTTTTTGATTATGGTGTATGGAGTGCAGATTGATGTGAAAAAAACAAACAATTAAATTAAATTAGTTTAACATAAGGCAGCCACATAACAAAATGTGAAAAAATGAAGAGGTTTATATACTTTCGTAAGCCACTGTACTGCATATACCAGAATGCATTTAGACATGCTCAATGTATGAAAAAATATTGCATTCAAGTGTGTGTGTGTGTGTGTGTGTGTGTGTGTGTGTGTGTGTGTGTGTGTGTGTGTGTTTTAAGCTAGTCACAATGCACTCTGGGATTCTCCAAAAAGAGAATTCAGGCTACTTTTTAAAACAGTTTTCAGTTTGGGAGCACACCAAAATGCTGCCTTCTTAGGAAGCTTACTAGGTTTTGGAACGGAGCACTGGATTTAAAGATGGCCGTCCTCCTGCTGTACTTCTCTCTGATTGCCTTGAAATCCAGACTTGAGGAGAGAGTGAGGTCAGAGATGGGGGCCTGATTGTGGTTACATCCTTGGCAGACCTACGCCTCACCAGTGACCAAATTGTTTTCTTTTGTCTTCCCTGCTGCACACACGGAATGCAGGATATTTTCATATCTCGTTTGTTTATCTGTGCGATCAATCTTTCCCCACTATATTTTATTCAAACCATACTGAACATCAGATATGTGTTTAATACACTGTTCAGCGCTGACATGTTTGAGGTGAGGCGTTCTTCTGAAAAAACATGGTGATTTCATGATGTCATGTACTTTACTTGACTTGTGAGACACAAGACTGTGCTTGAGTGAATGTTGTGAATTGCCTTTGTTGCACACCGAAAAAAAGCAAATGATTTGCTGTAGACATGCCTTGTTATTGCTAATGTTCTCTTACCGCTATCTGGTCTTCTAATTTTTCCAGGAGTTTGAGTTTGATCCAGGCCATGGAGGAAAACTATGAGGTGGACCTGGTCTACATTACAGAACGCATCATTTCTGTGACCTTCCCCAGTAATGTAGAAGAACCGAGCTACAGCGCTAACATAAAGGAGGTGGCCACCATGCTACGCTCTAAACATGGTGACAACTACTTGGTGAGACCTCAAAACTCAATAGCTTTGAGGGTTACACTTTATTTCGATTAGTCCACTTTAGACATTCTACTAACTAGAAGTAACTTTGCAACTTTAGAGTAATAGTAGACTGTTAGTGGACTGTTCGGGTTCTGGTTGGAAGAATAAGTTTACATGTAGTTGCAAATTTACTTATAATCAAGAATGTCTGTTGGGGACCATCAAAATAAAATATCAGCAGTTATTAAGCAGTCCACTAATACTCCAATGAGAGTTAGTTGACATATAGTTGCTAAGTTATAGTTACTAGAATGTGTAAAGTGGACTATCGAAATAGTGTTACTGCTTTGAGTACTAATTTGAGTTTATTAGTAATTGCAATACAATCACAGATGTAGATGTAAAACAATTGGGGGAAATAATTTACAAATTGTATTTATATTCATATAATTTATTTAGAAATATATTACATTTTTTATTTAAAAAATGTATTGTATTTATATTATTATTTATATTATTTTTTACAGCTCTTTAACCTCAGTGAAAAGCGATATGATATCTCCAATCTGAATCCCAAAGTGAGTAGAGTTTACTGTTTTATGTTATCTAATGTAGAGATGTTGGTTCCTTTTGGTCTTCCTTATGCTCTTGTGTGTTTGTTTGCGTGAGGTGCTGGATTTTGGCTGGCCGGACCATCACGCTCCAGCTCTGGATAAGATCTGCAGCATCTGCAAAGCCATGGACACTTGGATGAATGCTGACAGTCACAATGTGGTGGTCTTACACAATAAGGTACTGTTTTAATTGTTGTTCTCAGCATGTAATAAAAAAACACAGTGAGCTGGATTTGAAGGCATTATAAATGCACTAATGATTTGAAGGCTCTTCCAAAGATATATGCAACTGGCAATGCCCATAATGCACTGCAAAGAAAACTATTCAAGGTGTTTACCAAAGCAAAAGAATTGCAGTTATAGATGTAATTGTAAACCTAGTAATCTAATGATTATGTATATTCCATCAAGAGGTGCATCATTTTTTTATTCAAGATCTTGTATTGACAATGCAAGAGTCAAGCACTCCATCAATTAGGATTAGAAGAACTGTTACCAAACATATAACAGGCTTGAAGCATAATAGCCTAATCACAACAATAATGGTCCCATCATAGACTCTAAAGCATTTGTCTATTTAAATCCAAACAGTGACTTTTGTGTGTGTGTGTGTGTCTATCATCGATTTAAAAAGCAAAAATGAAATATGTATTACAATTTGTTACATGTTTTAATGCATATTAAAGTATTGTTTTGTTAGCTTAGCAAAATGCTAACTTGTTACTTGTTATTGATATCTATTGTGATTTGAGTCTCACGAGGTATCATGAGAGTTTTGATGCTCCTTCAATAGCCAGCAAGGAAGCGCACTAGGTTTTGAAACTGATGTTTGGATAATAGTTTTCTCTCTGCACAGTAGGCCTATAGTTACTGTAAATAGTACCCATAGTGCTTTGTCAGTAGATGGCGTTCTCATGCTACTCCTAATAAACCTGGGGTGGTGTGGGCCCAAAGGTTATGGTGGTCTGAACAGTGAGATTTATGAAGCAATTGCAGAGTCTTTACGTGAGAAAACATGACTGAGTTTACATGTAAAGTTAGTACTTCGCCATTGTTTTGAAAGCCCTTGCCTGACCCAGTCTTGAGGTTCAAGCTAATCTGTTTTCTTAAACAATTCATTTGAATTTACTCTTTCATCGCCCTCTGATCTGGTTAAGTCACATTGCTGGTTACCACTTAAAAACATTAGAATGATGACAATGCATTTTGAAGTTATATTGGAAAATGTTGTTTTTGAGGATAGCGGTATTGTTAAATGCCTCTCTAATGAAAGGGATTCTGTCCGTGAGTATAAACGTCAGAAACCAGCCTCTTGAGGAGTTTGTGGGTTATCTTCTAGACCACTGGTTCATCAATCCTGAAATGGTCTAGTGCTTTCAGAAAGCCATTTCACTGTATTTCCACTTGATTTCAAATACACCCGACTCTTTCCACACCCTCAAAGTGCATCTTACACATTACTATCCGTAAAACTCTTCATGAGTCTTTCAAGAAGTGTAGCACTGCCAAGAGAGGTTGTGATCTGGATTTAGAAAGGGCCAGAGATGTCATAAACACAAATATCCTGCCTTTTTAACAGGAAACCATAAACATTGTATTGTTATGGCAACCTGTGTTGTTCTTTGTAACAGTGGAAAGACGAGGCAGTGGCTTGATGGTGGAAATGTTCACTCATTCAGAAAGAGCACAACTGTGTTCAAAATGACTCAAACCATAGATTAAATAATGTGTTGTATTTCTGTCATGTACTTTGCTGTCATGTTTTTTTGGGGGGGTCATTCATGCAGCTCTGATGTACCTTTTCACTGTTATTTTAGCCATTACCATTAACATAGTATTTTTGTATTTATTAATGTTTTGAATACATTTTTTATATTTTCCATTTTCATTTTAGTTATTGTGTGTGTGTGTGTGTGTGTTTTCTTGACAGTATTTCCATGTTGGAATTTCACTTATGTGACATATATAATCATCTTAGTTTGTTCTTAAATATAAACAAACTAATATGACTTCCATCTGAAAAAAAAAAAACATGTTAAATATGTAGACGTATATGGTGGAGACATGAAATAATGTACTGCATTATTTGATAATCCCATCTGCTTCTCTCTATGCAGGGAAACCGAGGTCGAACAGGGGTGGTTGTGGCTGCGTACATGCATTACAGCAACATATCGGCGAGGTAAGACATGTAGACTGCGTACTGTCTGTGTTTATTGAGTTAAAGATGCTCCTCTGAACACTTATTATGGAAAGACCTTAATCCCACATCACAAGACTGGCCACACGTTAGGTAACACATGAGCGGGGGGGGGCGGCGGGAAAAACAACTGCCAAAACGCATCACTTTACAAAGGAGGATTTGTCTCAAGACTCAAATTAAGTGCTGATCAAATTCATCTCTAATGCAAAAAGTGCTATTTTTATGAACAGAAAGCTTCCAGTAAATTCAAGAAGCAATTTAGATACTTTTACTGGAAAACTAGACAAAGATCCTCATTAAGAATATGTCGTCTTGTTTGCAATGTGTTGGAGAAATTTCCCCAAACGTGTTTCCTGTGCCTCTGCAGTGCGGACCAGGCTCTGGACAGGTTTGCCATGAAGAGGTTTTATGAAGATAAAGTGCTTCCTGTGGGTCAGCCTTCCCAGAGAAGGTCAGTTGTGCATTGTTTTCCCCATCTTACCTCTTATCTTTGTTCTTTATGAGTTTGACCCTCATTTGTGAGCATTCAGTTTCAGCCATTGTTCAAATTTATGAGCTTCACCTCCAGATAACATTGCCCCAATCATGCACACGATGCTCGTGTAGATTTGTTAGGATAAGTTGGGTTATGTGTTGTTTACCTCACCATACCCTATGGCAGTGTGGTATGTCCTTAAAATGAGAAAAAAAAAGTTACGTAATCTCTTTCTGAGCGCCACATGTCTGATCTTGCCTCATTACCGGCACTATCATTCTGTATGCAAATGACATATCTCTCACTACAACCAGGTCTCAGATCAGATGTGCTCAAACTATTGTTGCAGTTGCAATCCAATTCACTGTGATTGCTAATACTGAAAAAAATATGCTACCATTCAAAAGTTTGGGGTCAGCAAGATTTAATTTTTAAAGAAATGTATACTTTTGCAAGGGCGCATTTTGATCGAAAGTGACAGTAAAGATATTTATAATGTTACAAAAGTTGTTAAAATGCTGTACTTAAAGCTGCCGTCGGCAACATTTTTTTGATCATATTCAGTGAAATCAACACTATAATCTGACAGAACAACATAAATAAAGTGGTTTTAGATAAAAACCCGAGCTTCTAACTCCACCTGGAGCGTGTTATTTGTTTTGCAAAAATCCACAGCTCCCGGTTCATCATGTCCAATCAGCGCAGGGGGGTGTGAGATCTGACTGTCAATCACAGATCGGGCACACGCCACCCCTCGCGCACGTTACAATCACATGCACACGCCTGAAGTTCGCGCAGTAACGAAGATCTCGAGTGATGGCGGAAAATCAAGTAAGCTCATTTAGAGTATAAATGACGTTAGCAATTGCAATCTATCGGTAGATTAGCCAGGACAGCATACCTCCAAATACTCCATGGTGTTGATGGATGCTGATGAGACGGGCGCGTTCACTGAAAATCTGGTGCACACGCACTGACGAGCATGAACTCGGTCACGGTGGGAGGGTATCCGTTGATAGTGGGGGAGGGGCATGAGAGTTGTAAACATTCAAAATTTTCCTAAATCCACTCAATCTGCCAGACTTGCCGACTGGAGCTTTAAGAATCCTGAAAAACTATGACAATTTCCATAAAATTGCGCTGCATAAATATTTTCAGCATTGATAATAATAATGAGGAATGTTTCTTGAGCAGCAAATCCGCATATTAGAATGATTTCTGAAGGATCATGTGACACTGAAGACTGGAGTAATGATGCTGAATATTCAGCTTTGCATCACAGATATAAATGACATATTAAAATAGGAAAACAATTGTTTTAAATTGTAATAATGTTTCACAATATTGCTGTTTTACTGTATTTTTGATCAAATGAATGCAACCTGGGTGAGCAGAAGAGACTTCTTTCAAAAACATTAAACAATCTAACTCTCCCCATTTTTGGGGTGCACACGTCACAATATTCCTCATTCCCGCCAAAGGCATACGCAAAAAGAAAGGGGGCGAGGCCAGGTTGAGTTGCATTAGTAGTGTTTTGAAACTCATGGTTACGGTAAGGGGCGTGACATTTACCAAACAAGCTTGAAGCGGTTGACCAATCACAACACACTGGCCCAGCCGACCAGGAGTGTTACTGAAAGACTAAGAAGAGAGGTGCTGCAACAATGTAAAATATGTGAAAAATAATGAATGATGAAAACCTATTCTAGTAGACCCCAAAAACAAAATCAAGACTTCGAAAAAGGGCATAATAGGCCCCAATTAAATAAGTAAAATGAGGGGTATTGATCATGTGACGTTCTTTGAACAGATGTTCTTGCTGTTCTCTGGAACATCTCGAAATTATGCTGGAGAACATGAACATTAGGTTTTGGTCATGTCAGCTCCAGTGCTTTCCAGTTCAGCCTTTCACTCAGAGTGCAATGGTCAATATATAATTTGCAACCAAAAAAAAAATTATATTATAGAAAATAATGTTTACTAGTAGTTTCAATGATTTTTGGATCCCAATGTACAGTTACACTGATAAACGTGTACCTGCACTTTGTGCCACACACCCATTTATGCCTCATAAGGGAACACTTGGCCACGGATGTGCTGCTTTTACAGAATCAAGCATTCCATCTGTATATGGAAGCACTGGCACTTCAGGCTTCATTAAAACTAGATTTCATTGGGGCACATACTTGTGCTCCCTTCATGGAAAATGGAAAAGCAGAGTCATGGTAAGAGCTAGCTCCAGGACTAAAGAAGAAGCTTGTGATTTCTGGAATAGAGGGGCCCTGGCTGAACAACTGAATGTTCATGGGAAACCAGGCCTCGGGCGATCTGCCAGGAAGATGCAGAAACACTGGTCACTGTCTCTCTCCAGAGACACAACCTCAACGTTCAAGAAGAAAAATGCTTTTTCCTGTTTATAAAACCTAACATCTGTGCTAAGGGTTCGGAAACACAGCAAAACGCTCCTCAACTGCAGATGAATCCGTCTTATGACCCTAAATGGTGTTGACAACAGTGTTTAGATAGTATGCTTTGTAATACACACTCGCATGAATATGTCTTTTGCTGGAAACCCGAGACTTTCACACACTCAGCATACAACAGGTGCGTCTGCGTTTCTTAAACGGATGGTTGTCACGATAAATTCAGTAGCAGATAGCAATGCCATTGAAATGGTTTTATACCTCAGCAAAAACTTACATGATGTCCAATAGGTCCTTTATTTAAAAATATACAAAATATTCAGTAAATATTAATTATTCTTATTTTTCTAGACATATTTCTTTTTTTTGTAAACATATACTGTATATAGTAACAGAAATACGGTTCAATTTGTTAACATTTAACTAATGGTAATTTTACTTTAAAATAAAATAAAAACAATGCATCAGTATGTGTAGAAATTAACGTTAACCTAGATTAATAAATGTTGTAAAGGGATTGTTAGGTCATGCATTAATGCTAATGCCTTAATCAACTAACTTAAGTATTACTATATATTTTATATAGTTTAATATGTAAGTTTTAATATATGAAACATTTTTATATTTTGTGTACTGTATTTTACAAAAAAAATACAAAAGTGATTAACTCAAACGTGGGTACGTGCACTTTTAGGCTGCCATCATTCTGCTCTTTTTGATTCTTCATCTTTCTGATTACTGTAATTATTGTAAAGGGTGTATTTTTTGAATGGCGTGTTATTGAAGTACCAGCAGTTTTGACATCTCTAGTACACACTTGTTCATATCTTAGTCCCCCCCTGTTGTCTGTTGTCCACTAGTTTAGTTTATTTCTGATAATCTTGTGTTTTGCTCTAGGTATGTGCAGTACTTCAGCGGTCTGCTCTCCGGCCACATCAAGATCAACAACAAGCCCCTGTTTCTGCACCATGTGATCATGCACGGGATCCCAAACTTCGAGTCCAAAGGAGGTGAGCTGAAACGCTCTGGCTGTGGGCCGTCTGTCAGTGACTCCCGGAGGTGTTGAAGGCAGGTTTCTGGGGTCCGTCTCCAGTCCTGCTGCTTTTGACACCTTCCTGTCAGACTGACAACACGCTGCTCTATTACACACATCTCGGGTGATCCGATCACAAGAGGTCAGCGCTAAATACAGCTGTAGACGGGGTCCAGAATCTGATCATTGAAACCACAGTCGGGCGTGGTCAGAGAAACATGTGACCACATCACATTTGTAGTATAATCAAATCCATCCTCCCAAACAAGATATGTGTGGTGTTCTTAAAATGCTGGACCGTAAAGTCTTCTAAGGTGATTAAAAAAAATATATATTATTGACAAAAAGCATCAAATCAAATTATTTGAATTGACTGATTAATGAACTACATATAAACATAACAACAAATTATGATTATTTTGAAAGAGTTAGTTCACCCATTTGGCAATCATTTACTCCCCACATAATAATAATAATAATAAAATATATATATGATTGAATGAGGCATTTATATAGCGCTTTTCATATGTACTACTGTACACCTAAAGCACTTTACAATCATGTCGGCGTCTCTCCTCACCCACCACCAGTGTGAGCATCCACTTGATGATGCGACGACAGCTACAGTACAACGGCGCCAGTGCGCTCACCACACACCAGCTATAGTTGGAGAGAGAGTGATAGAGCCAATTCAATGGATGGGGATTATTAGGAGGCCATGATTGGCAAGGGCCATTGGAGGGAATGTGGCCAGGACACACACACACATATATATATATACTGTATGTATATATATATATATATATATATATATATATATATATATATATATATATATTTTATATATATATATATGTATATATACTGTATGTGTATATATATACAGTATGTGTGTGTAATTTACAATTTATATAGAAAATAAAACATAAATATTATTAAAAAATATATATATATATATATTGTTTATTTTTAAAGTGCTTCATCACTTGTGAAATTTATATTATAAATTATTTTTAAAGTAAACAAAATTTTATTAGGAGATTTCGTTATTTATTTTAAAGTGGTTCACCACCTGTCAAAGTTTGAGAACAATTGCTTGAAAAAAATAGTCCAATAAAAATATTTAGAAAAATATCACATGTAGTTTGATCTTTCTCAAGATCGCAAGTAGTGCGACACATTGGAGACCGTGTAAATACCCAAAAATATTCTATAAACATTAGGGATGTCCCGATCCGATCACGAGATCGGAAATCGGGCCCGATCACGTGGTTTCAGACTCGATCGGAATCGGACGTTACTTCCCGATCAGGACTCGGATATATGTAAATTAGGGGTGTAACGGTACATGTATTCGTAATTATTGAACCATTTCGGTACGAGGCTTCCGGTTCGGTACGCATACAAACCGAACGATTCCTAGGACCATTTTCCCTGCAGACAAAATCCGCGCTGGCGCGACCACCACAACATTGCGCAACATCAAATGGCAAACGTAATGAAAGCAGAACGAAACTGCGCTACTCATTATATTGTGCTTAACGGACCGTTTATCAGTTCGGACCAGCAACATCTGTGCAGCGCGAGATCAAGCGACACTGTGCTGCTAAGAGATCCAGTGAAGAAAACATTTGAATTCGCCACTGAAGTAATAACATTGCTGCGAGATCTAGTGAGAAGCATTCAAATTTCTCCGTTATTAACCGTAGATCTCTATTAGATCAAACAGCGCTGACGTGGGAACCAGGAGAAACATTGTGCCGTGAATGAACATGGATTTAATGTTTGCACTTCAAAACTCAAATATTATATAAATATATATTTAAATGTTATTTTTAATGTGATTACCAAAACATTATTTGTTCATCCTTCAAAGATTACCCCCATTTATAAACCTGAAAGTTTCAAGATGTAGGAAAACTCAAACTTATTTAAAAATAGTTTTTCTTTTAATAAATAGGAAATTTCTCCGGCATTTCTTTCTTTTTGCTGTATCGTATCGAACCGAACCGCAAATTTTGTGAACTGTTACACCCCTAATGTATTCTCATTATTTTTTTATACACTTTTAAAACATTTTTATTTTTTGTTTACATGCCTGCCGGGTATTTTAAGTTGAGGTGCTATTTGTTTTTATATTAGACTTTTTCTATATTTACTGTTGCACTAAAGTCCAAAAGTGAAGATTTTATGTTATTTATTACTTGTTTGTACAAGCTACCTCACAGAAGTGCTCTGTTTGTTAACAGAGTTGTTGAATGTTAAAATAATGTGAATTAAATAAAAAAATAAGGAACATCCTGGATCTGTTTTTTCTCTCTTCTTTATTCTTTTTTTATGTATTATAAGTATCGGATCGGGACTCGGTATCGGTAGATACTCAAAATCAAATGACTCGGACTCGGACTCAAGGGCAAAAAAACCTGATCGGGACATCCCTAATAAACATCATAGAAAGTCTTGCCTCTGCTTGTGATGGTTTCATCTGGGACGCATGTTAATATAATTAGTATAAACAGGGCCTTAGAGAGTTAGAGAGAGCATTTCTGCTCCACGACGAAGACCTTTAGATATTCCACTTTTAGAGCTTTGCTAACATTTTGTTTTTGTTCTCTCTCATGGTTTCTCAGGTTGCCGCCCTTTCCTCAAGATCTACCAGGCTATGCAGCCCGTCTACACATCTGGGATCTAGTAAGAAACACCCCATGTTTTCCTACACGGTATTGCTCATGCTTCCCTGGCATGTAGCCCAGCCTTCAGGACGTCCAATCACGGGCGGCCCTCTGTGTCTGGGGGTTGGGGGCTTCTGAATCACACACACACTCTGAGGAGCCCGCATGTGCTTTTCCCATACATCACTGAACTCGGCCCCTGTAGCTTCCTCCATGCTCAGACTACAGCTTTGTTGTTATCACTAGAGATGGACCTTTCAGTTCAATACAAATAGAAATATGTCAAGCATTAATCACTCGTATGTTTAGGCTCACGTTTGTGTTTTTAATGTGAGGTTGTTTGTGGTTAACGGGTGTGTGTCCGACTGGTATTTTCAGTAACGTCCAAGGAGACAGTCAGACCAGCATCTGCATCACCATCGAACCCGGCCTGCTCCTGAAAGGAGACATTCTGGTAAGAATGAATCTCACAAAACCTGTCAGAAACATGTCTTGGTCATACGTCAAGCCTAATTCAAAAGAATCCTAATTTTTATATAAAGAAAATGAAGCTTATTTTCGAACCATAAAGTTCTGACATTATTTCCATGACTGTTAAGATATATTAAATTCTATATTCAAATTTAATTTAATTTTAATTTAATTTAATTTAATTTAATTTTTTTATTCTTTTTTTTTTATTCTTATTATTTATTTATTTATTTTTATTCTTATTATTTATTTATTTTTATTTATTTATTTATTTATTTATTTATTTATTTATTTATTTATTTATTTATTTATTTATTTATTTATTTATTTATTTATTATTTTATTTAATTTTTTTACACAATGGTAATTTTTTGGTGTACTTCCTTTATAATTTTTTAAATAATAATAATCTACGGTGGCCGAGAGAGCTCAACGCGCTGCAACTGATGAAAATGCATGCAAATAGAAGAAAACACATGCAAATAGAAAACAACGCGTGCAAATAGAAAACAACGCGTGCAAATAGAAAAAAACACATGCAAATAAAATAAAACGCATGCAAATAGAAAAAAACGCATGCAAATAGAAAAAAAACGCATGCAAATAAAAAAAACACCCGCAAATTAAGAAAACATCTTCATCAGTTTCACAACACACGTGTGCTCCAAATACTCACAACACCACCAAATACATAAACGCGCTGCAAATAACACAGAGCACAACGGAAATGTTTCCAGGGGAACCAAATGAGTGACGAACCCGGCTGGGACGTGCTGGCATAGATATCCATAAATCTATGCGTGCTGGTGCTTACAGCTTAAAATTATACTTTATTTATTTGTTTATTTATTTGTTTGTTTGTGCAAAACATACAGAGATTACATTTTTTTATGACATACAACTTGTATACAATGTACAAAATGTATTAACAATATGTTCAATGTCATCAGAATACAAATGAGAAAAGAACAATGAGCTGGAAACTAAAATAAATCAATAAAAAAGATAAAGAAGAAAAACATGAAGGAAAGATATTTATCTATAGATCAGTTACACTGTACAAATTGTTTCATGTTATTACATTTTCATAAAGAAAAGTTTCGTAAGAAATGTTAGGTAATGTAGGGTCCAAAATTTTAAAGTTGAGACACAGATATATAACGCATATTTTAAAAGCTTTTTTTGTAAAATAAAAATAAAAATGTATTTGCATCCGTTATGTTAAAAGCATCATATTTCTGTCGTAAGACCAGCTGATGGACGCCGTGCTGCGTTGTCATGGGAACATCCCAGGTGAAAATAATGAGGAAATTACGTTGTCTTTAGTTGCTCCCTTCATCAAGTGCGTTCCACACGGCTGCCTAACAGCACACTAGAGCCTTGCTCACTCCAAAAGGGCTCTGCAATCTGCCCTTCGAAGGGAGTATGGCATAGGGAAGCTCACGAGCAATAAGCACGTCTCAGCCGGGTTCGTCACTTATTTGGTTCCCCTGGAAACATTTCCATTGTGGTCTGTGTTATTTGCAGCGCGTTTTCTGTATTTGGTTGTGTTGTGAACTTTTGCAGCGCGTTTCCTTATTTGGAGCACACGTGTGTTGTGAAACTGATGAAGATGGGTTTTTTTTATTTGCAGGTGTTTTTTTCTATTTGCACGCGGGTTTTTTTTATTTGCATGTGTTTTTTTCTATTTGCATGCGTTTTTTTCTATTTGCACGCGTTTTTTTCTATTTGCACGCGTTGTTCTCTATTTGCATGTGTTTGCTTCAGTTGCAGCGCGTTGAGCTGTCTCGGCCACCGTAATAATCAGCATGTTGCACACAAACCATTAACAAAACAAGATCAAACCAAATAAAAATAATAGTAGTAAGAATAATAATGATAAAACAAATATTTTTTTATTACTGTGGACATTGTTAAAATATAAAAAATAATAATAATATAATACAATCTTACATTTTCACTAATATAGTTCATGTTCATTTCTAATTCCCAATAACTATGTAACAGTAATGGGATTCGTCATCACTGAGAATAATGGGAATCAAAAAACAACTCTAAAGTAAAACAATTAGGAAAATATTCATAATTGTTGTGTGATTAATGTCACACTGCCAACAAATCTTATGGAAATATAATTGTCTCTATGTAAAATGTAATTTCATACTGTTTTTTTTTTTTTTTTTTTTTTGCTTTTGACTTGTGGGGTTAAATCTGGCACAGGTTTTTCCTCCATTTATGGGCATTTCTCAGAGCCACACACGCCAATAATAAAGCAGGATGTCTAGAGGCTCATCCATCAGACATTTATTCCTGACGAGAGACACTTTTCTCTGCATAGATTTTTTTTTTTGTGCATTTAACCCCAGAAAGCTTTTTTGGAAGAGAAAGCCAAAACGAGCTGAGTGCTTTATCATAATGCTGTGCTCATAGAGGAGCACTCTCTCCGAAATCAATCAGAGCTGATCTATAGAGGACTCTCGGCCGAACACCAGCCACAACTGCAGCGTTGAGCTTTGGCTAAAGCAGATTATAGATCAATGTAGGTGTTAGCATTAAAAAAAATACTTCCCTTGAGTGTCAAATGCAACTGAGATCATAAGTGAGAATACTTTGATTTTGATTACAAATTCTATTATCAGCATAATTTGAGTGAAATTGAAGGAAGAAATTAAACTGTAAAAATGTTGCATTCGTTTTAGTATTCTCAGATAAATTCTTTGTTTTTAAAAGCTTCGTTTTGCTGATTGTGAATGACTGAGATGCGCTTTTTCCGAGGCGGGACCCCCCATGTGTGCGACTGAGTCTCTGCTGCAGTTCGGGAAAACCGCAGAATGCTTTGCCAGCCCCCATCTTCCTCAATTTGGTCGTGTTTGTTTTGTTTCACTCTCCGAACTGAAAAGCTGTACATTTTACGTCCATCTGCCCTAAGTTAAGTAGGCTAATTATAGTTATTTTGGGCAACAGAAAGAGGGATACAGTTTCCTCAGTGGCCAGTGAGGAAATTTTTATGTCCTTGTCTGGGTTTTGGAGAGGGCTCTGTTGTTTTACATACTTTCGCTATACTGACATCTCTGGCTCTGCTGCACCATGGGAAGGCGAGGCGACCAGCATCCAAAACCTCTCAAACAATCCGTTCCAAGCCCATGAATAGAACTTTCTGTGCAGAGTGTGCGTGTGTTGACGCAAGATTGCATTTGAGTGATTTGCCATGCTCTTAAAGGAATGTTCTGGGTTCAATACAAGTTCAATACAACTTGTGCCATGTCGATTACCACAGAAAATAATTTCTGAACAAAGAAGCATAAATCGTGGTTGCGAAAAAGTTTAAGTGAAGCAAACTCCACTCACAGGAATTACACTGGAAATGCAAAACCCCAAAGTCGTCCTCTTAGAAAAGTGGTAAAAAACAATTTTGTTTATGCTTCAGACAACATGACAATATTGCCAGTCTCACATTTATGCCTGTAAATCCTGCAAAGCGTTGATACGTTTCTATGAAAGTCACTACAAACACAATACCCTGCAATAAAATGAAACAATATTTATTTATTCATTACATTTTAACTATAATTTATAATTGTATTTATTTATTAGATTTGAACTATTATTTATCATTTATTTAGTTTGATAACTGACTTATTTATTAGATTTGAACTATTATTTATAAATATAATTTTAGTAAAAACTTATTTAGCTTGATAACTGACTTATTTATTTATTTGCTTACTTTCTTTCTTACTTGGAGAAGTCAAAATAATGTTTAGTGATAATTAAGATGACTCCCCTGACGCTGATTTCTTGTATTGGTTTCAGTCTCGGTGTGTTTGACCTGTTCTGTGTGTTTTGTCATGTCCTCCACAGCTCAAGTGCTATCACAAACGCTTCCGCAGCCCGTCCCGGGATGTCATATTCAGAGTGCAGTTTCACACCTGTGCTGTTCATGACCTGGGCATCGTCTTTGGCAAAGATGAGCTTGATGAAACATTTAAAGGTATGCTGGATTTGCTTTGATTTGGTCTTGAATAGTCAGACTTTTGACTATGCTGTGCCATCTGAGACTGAGACTAGATTTGGTTGGTTCATGTTTTTATTTTATTTTTATATATATATTGTTATTATTATTAAATCGGCTGTATTGATGACACTGCTTTGCTCATTCCATTTTTTTTTTTTAGATGACAGATTTCCTGAATATGGAAAAGTGGAATTTGTATTTTCTTTCGGTCCAGAAAAAATCCAAGGTAAGATTTCTATTTATTGTCGTTCATTTTCAGCTAATAAAGAATCACATAAATACTATAAATAGGGCATATAGTGAGCCCAGAAGCTTCTGACTGTAGATGTTCTGTCATAGGAATGGACCACCTTGAGAATGGGCCTAGTGTTTCTGTGGACTACAATACCCAAGATCCTCTGATTCGCTGGGATTCTTACGAGAACTTCAACCAGCGATGTGAAGATTCCATGGAAGGTGAGTGAAACTGTAGTCTCATTTTCAACGAATGAATGGAAATGATTCGATTTTCCCCACAGTGAAGCCAGAATGGTAGTAAAACAGTTCTATTTTTGCTTCAGACAAATTCAAATATACCAGTTTCACATTTCACATCTATCTAATATTTTCCATCCATCCATCCATCATTTATAATTAATAACTTAATAATTATTTATATATGTATGTATTGTATTTTTAATTTATTTAATTATTTATTGCAGCAATTTTAGGGTTAATTGCTGTCAATTGACATTAACTTCACAAAGAAGCCATTCCTCGTTTTTTTTATGAATATAGATGGCAACAGTGCCCGCCCCATTTTTCAGTGCAATGGGTTCTAGAAGTATATTTTCCATTTCCAAAGGGATTCAAATAAAGTCTTTGTTAAAGCCTCGTACAACCAGCTACAAACGTTGTCACTCGCAGCGCTTCATGGGAGTGGGCGGAGCTAAACGCCTCTTTTGGCACGTGTTGTTTTGAGTCTCTGATTGGTGGAATTGTCTGTGCAGCATCATGGGTAATGTAGTTTTTTCCACTGTTAAACAATTATTTTAAAAATAAGCTGAAATAATGCTGGCTTCATCACGAAGCAAATACCATCGATTACCAACCTCGTAGCTCATAGTAGATCTGTTTTTAAAGGTTGTTGCACTCTATAGTATTGCTTGCTTAGCAATATTCTTACACTAAACTCTATTGAAATTAGTTGTGAGTCGAGTCTCCTGTGCGCTGTGCACAGATGTTGCCAGATCAGTCTAGAGTACAAGGTTTCATGACACTTAGGATGCTTCCTTAGTCTGGTCACTCAGAGTTCACATAGAGTCTGTGTCCGGGTCATCTGTCAGTCCGACATCAATTCATCAGCATTCTGGATGTATTAACGTTTTGTGACAGAGCTGTTTGTGTACACGACTGTGATAATCTGTGCGTGTGACAGAGACTGATTTAATCAGATGAGTTTGTAGTGCTCCTCTTAAACACATCACGAGGTCGAGTAGAGTTCACACAAGCACACTGCTGTGTCACTGGAATTGTCCACACACCCTTGTGGCCTAAGCTACGAGCCTCCTTATTTTGACTTGTGGTGTGCTTCTGCTCCTCAAACATGTGATTTGTTGTCCGATTTTGAGACATCCTCATTTGGTGGGTCAGCTCTCTGGAGAGGGAAAGTCAAAGCGAGGAATTCAAGGAGGATATGTATGGAATTCTGTCGATGTTTGGAAGTATATGTTTTAGTTTAACATCCTGTTACACTTTTTTTCTCATCATAGACTGCTTTATTTTTTACTTTATTTGTTATAAAATGTTGTAGTGACAAATAATAAAGTCTTCTCCAACCATGCTTGGGTGAAATGGCAACTAGTCTCACATAGCTAGACTTAAAGTGTTAGTTCACCCAAAAAATAAACATTCTGTCATGAATTACTCGTGTCGTTCCAAACCTTGTAAGACTTTCGTTCATCTTCAGAACACAAATTAAGATCTTTTTGATAAAATCTGAGAGCTTTCTGACCCTCTTTTGACAGCTACGCTACTGACACTTTGACGACACATCAAAAAGATCATAAAGAGATCGTAAAACTAATCCATATTGAGAGGTTTAGCCCAACATTTTCTCAAGGGGCTCAATCACTTTATATGGTTTATAGTAACCAACAGCGGTAAACCATATAAAGTGATCGAGTCTCCTCAGAAAAGTTTGGATCCCCTAATGCTGTCAATATGCCGTTGTTGAACCTGGAACAGTTACGGTCGTTCAAAAATGTAATGCTTTGAGCTAATTATATATATTTATATTTACATATTTATATATTTTGCCATGTCATTGCATGAATGGTTAGAAAGTAGGAGAATAAGTTCATCTGAGTGTGCGTGTGTGTGTGATGCATCAGAAAGTACTGAGGGTGGTCTGGAGGCTTGTACAATCCCAGTATTGAATAGAGAACACACAGAGCCCAGTTTGCCTGTGGGAATTTGACCACAGTCACACCGCACTACCCTGCGTCCCAAGCCTCCATTTCCCTCGTCGACTTCCAGTGGCCTTTTGTGAAATATTCCAGGCGTTGGCTGAGAATTGTGCAATTCATGCAGCGAGGAGACAGTCAGACCATTCCTGCCCAATCACAATGTCCAAAACAGCTACGACTATAAATAATTTTATCTTCCAAAACACCCATGCGGTATGTTTATCTATTCGACAAGAGTGTGTTTAGATTATTGCGATCCAAAAAATACTTTTAAAACTGTCGAGACTGTATCGTTGTGTTATTTTTAATATCCCTGGGGTCATATTTTAGGAGCTCCAGTCAGTTTAGCACACATTTAAATTCTACTCTGTTCTAAGCTGAAGCCATTTGAGATGACAGGCTATAAAGGCTATAAAGTCTGCCAGCCTCTTGACCAGTCCTTTCTTTAAATAGGGCAAGCAGAAATAGGCTGCCACCTTTAAGAGGGGTGTAAACTAATACAAATCTCTGGTCAAGAGGCCAGACCCCAAAGCCCCTCTAACTGCCCCTGGCATCACCTGGCAGTGTTTTATGCCCCTTTATGAGATGCCACATGCTACATATACTATATATACCATTCATAAGCTTGGGGTTGGTTCGATTTTTTTATGTTTTTAAAAGAAGACTCTTGGAAGGAGGAGGAAGAAAGATTTATTTCCTCCAAAATACAGTAAAACAGTAATACTTTGAAATATTTTCAAAATAACTGTTTTGTATTTGAATATATTTTCAAATTTAATTTATTCCTTTGTGGCAAAGCTGAATTTTCAGCATCATTCCTCCAGTCTTCAGTCTTCTGATCATTCAGAAATCATTCTAATATGCTGATTTGTATGGGGTTAGATTTCGGTCACAATTCTGCGCGTGCAATAGGGCATTTTGCACGCGCGTGAACTGAGTTTTGCGGAGAAATGTTACATGTGGTCTTCGAGTAGTAGACATTTGAACTTAAATTAAAGTATTCAAGCCATTAAAAAAAACCATCTCTTCCACCATGTATTTTTCCTCTTCTGCTGTCGGTGATGCAGGGAGTCTTGTGATTGGTTGTCAAGCCAGCCAATCAGAATTTAGCAGTCTCATCTCTGATTGGCTGGAATTACGGCATATTGTAACGCTGGGTTGTGTTGAGCAAGCGAGCCGTCTGCGCTTAGAGAGCGCTCAGGGCTGGTATGAGAGGAGCAAGAAAGTGAAACTTTGCACTTGCGAAAGAGAACGTCTGCGCACATCCAAATACTTATTTTAAATGCAAAATTGATTTTCGTTTGCTCTAAATATTTTCTTATCTGCGAGACAAACATTTCTCCGCAAAACTCAGTTCAGAAATGCCCTTTTGCACGCTTAAAATGTGATTTTGCGTGCACAGAATTGTGACTGAAATCTAACCCCATAGATTTGCTGCTCAAGAAACATTTCTTATTATTATCAATGTTGAAAACATTGTGCTGCTTCATTTATTTATTTTTTTTGTATAAACTGTAATACGTTTTTTGGAAGCTTCTTTTGGGAAAAAACCCCAAGAAAGTTATAATATCCTAATATAAAGTTTTAAACACACCGCCCACGTCTGCATGCTTGAGAGCCTGTCTTCAGTCAGTAGGACTGCTGAATGGAAAGGGCACATTTGCAAATGAATTTAGATGCCTATCACACAGTCAAACATCTCCATTGAGCGACTGCGGCCAGAGGACCGACTCTAGAGACATGATAAGCAGCCAGACATTATGCCTTTGTGCTGGAGCTCATGCCAACACTGAAGGACTGGCTGACATTGTCAGAGGAGAGAATGACTGGTACTAATAGACCAAGAACAGAGAACTTGCATCATGGTTAACCCTGTCATTCCTTCGCTGACTTTTTGCTGGATTAGGCAGCTATTAATGTTTCTAACACTAAATTGTAAAGTATTTTAAAAACTAGATATTGAAGAAGATGAATACAGTTTGGATGTGCATTCCAGTATTTCCCCCAAATTTCCTGAAATTTCCAAATTTTGGACTTAAAAATTATTATTTTTAATAAACCCTTCAACTGCATGTATTGATTTTGGATTTACTCAAGTAATCTATATAGCTATGCAAATGTAAAGTGTCATATAAAAAGCCTGGTACAGTTAAAGGGTTAGTTCACCCAAAAATGAAAATTAAGTCATTAATTACTCACCCCCATGCTGTACCAACCCCGTAAGACCTTCGTTCATCTTCGGAACACAAATGAAGATATTTTTGATTAAATCTGAGACCTGGATCACTGCTACATAGGCTGCCTAAGGGAGTGAAACTTGACGGCCCAGAAAGTCATTAAAGAAAATGTTTAAATATTCCATGTGCCTACAGTGGCTCCACTATAAGTTTATCAAGCGACGAGAATACTTTTGTGCGGAAAAACAAACAAAAATAACGACTTTATTCGACTATTCCTTTTCTAGTCACATGGAATATTTAAACATTTTCTTTAATGACTTTCTGGGCCGTCAAGTTTCATTCCCTTAGGCAGCCTATGTAGCAGTGATCCAGCTCTCAGATTTAATCAAAAATATCTTCATTTGTGTTCCGAAGATGAACGAAGGTCTTACGGGGTTGGTACAGCATGGGGGTGAGTAATTAATGACTTAATTTTCATTTTTGGGTGAACTAACCCTTTAAGGTTGTTTAAAATATGGATTTTGTTAGAACATTACTCTTGTACGAAGCCCAAATTTTAGCTTTAAAGCATCCTTTACATGGCTGAGAAACAGCGGTGTGAATTGAATTGAACGGTAATAATATAAAAAAAAAAAAAAAACATTAGTATTGTTAAAATGACCAGACTAATTGTTTAAAGCCTGCATGCTAACTTTAACACACCCTCTGGCGGCTCAGAAACGGCACCATATAATGGGCTAATTGCGCAAAAGATGGCTCTAAATGTATTAGCCCATACGGTAAATTCAAGGGTTCATAACTGTAACTGTAAAAACTGTTCAATATTAGG